GACCAGCATGTCCACGATCGCGGCCCGCGGCTTGTTAGCGCCGACGTTGACCACCAGGTACTCGATCTCAAAGCCTTCGGAGTCCACGGGCAGACTGCCCAGCACCTAGTCGGCACGTCCCGACTCGGGCGCCAGGGGAGCATCCTTCCCAAACATGAAGTTGATGCCAAACCTTAGTCGCCCGGGCAAATTATCAAGCGCAGGACCGTCTGGGCATGCAGTTTTCAGTCGAGGAGCTTGCGCGCTCCATGTCCCAACCCGAGGGGCGTGGGAAATCTTCACCGCATCGTTAGGCAAGTACCTCACGAACCACGACAGGTTTGGGCATCCGCATTTTGTATCATATGCGATCTTTGGAGTTAGCTGTGTGGACAAGCAATGAGTATGCAGGGTGCCACAGATTATGCGCGTCGACAATGGGAGGAACAATTATGTGGGGATCGCACTTGATAATGTGTCGTTGCATTGGCTTCTGGAGACGCGAAAAACTACGGGATGGTGAAGGCTACGTCTGTAACATCAGGACGGCAAGCAATCCTCAAAAACCCCGAGATTGATTGCGGCATCTCGTCTCAAAGCGATGCGAAAGCAGCCATTGCCATTGCGAGCAGGTGTGAATCAGGAAAGGTCAGACACATCGAAGTCCGCCAATTCGGTTGCAGGAGAAAGTGCGACGTGGGGACATCAAAGTGGTCAAAGTAGGCGCCCATGATAATCTTGCATATGCTGTAACTAAATATGTGAGCAGAGAGATCATGACCTTTCACATTCGAGGTACCAACCTACGCCATTTTAGCAGAAGGCACGAGCTGACTTCCGCCACGGAGTGTTCGCTAAGTCCACATGTGGATTCTCATCGCGCCCTGCTTTGCTGGATATTTGAGCTGAGGACCAGGAGAGAAAGGCCACGCGATTTAAGCATGTTGCATGATTCGGTGCCTTGCGATATTTCAAAGTCGCGTTTCGCGTGTTAGGAAGCCCTCGCTCGTTGGCGCCCAAATCGTAGTCGCTCCTTGCTTGCACCAGTGATTTCATTGTTTCATTATTCGTATGCTTCTGATCTCACCTTAGCTTGCCCTGCTGAATAGGCGACTCGGCCACTGACCGCTTAGAATCCCTCAGAGTCACCTCTTATCCAGCCTGCTTGTTGTTTTCCTCTCACCCGTCGCTTCATTCGGCCGAAGCTGGCCGATGGCGGGGGGGTGTTTGTACGTGGCAAAACGAGAGGGTGAGCAGGGTACACATGTTCAGCAGTTCGGCATCTTGTGGGCCCCGCCGGCGCTTGGCTCAAATGCTATCGTCTCCTTATGGAGCAATTCCAGCCATATGTTGAAGAGGAGGAGGACGAGGATGAGGATGAGGACGACGATCATGATGAACACACAAGATTATCATTAGTATGTTGATCGCGATGATGATGATGATGATGATGATGATGATGATGATGATGATGATGATGATGATGATGATGATGATGATGATGATGCTGTTTATGATTATGATGCTGATGATGTTGTTGTGGTTGTGGTTCACGCTGTTATCGTTGTTGTCGATGATGGCGTGGTTGATGGTGATGATGATGGTGATGATGATGGTGATGATGATGCTGATGGCGATGATGCTGATGCTGATGATGGTGATGATTAATTTACGACGATGATGATGAGGATAGCGAGGATGAAGCTGATGGTGGTGGTGGTGGTGGTGGTGATGGCGATGGTGGTGATGATGATGGTGATGATGATGGTGGTGGTGGTGGTGGTGACGGTGTTGTTGTTGCTGTTGTTGTTGTCGTCGTCGTCGTCGTCGTCGTTGTTGTTGTTGTTGTTGTTGTTGTTGTTGTTGTTGTTGTTGTTGTTGTTGTTGTTGTTGTTGTAGTTGTTGTTGTTGTTGTTGTTGTTGTTGTTGTTGTTGTTGTTGTTGAATTGTCGTTTCTGAAGAAACAGTATTGTTGACCCCCCTCACCGGTGCATGCTGTTTTTCTCAATCAAAGTGTGCCCCTCGACGCTCGCACCCTGTTTTTTGACAGGGAAATCTTGATGCTCAAACTGCGCCCCTGGCCCCAGGGTTACAACAACAACGGTTCCTTCTTGAGACTTCCTCACAATTTAGCCAGGACCCCCGCTCCCGCCCGAGACTTCCTCGCATTTCATTCAGGAATCGCGCTCTCGCTGGTGACTTCCTTACAATTGATTCAAGAATCGCTCTGCCAGCGCGCTGGAGTCGCGCTCTCGCGGGAGACTTGCTTGCAATTTATTGACGAATAGCTCCCTTGCGTTGGAATTTCCTGCAATTTACTCAAGCGCCGCGTTCCTGACACCCAGGTACCCAGGAGTCGCGCTCACGCTTAGGACTCCCTCACAGATTACCTAGGAATCGGGATCTCGCTGCACTTCGTGGCCCCGTTGCAGCCCTTCGTGGCCCCCTCGCTTTGTTTCGTGGCCCCCTCGCAGCCCTTCGTGGCCCCCTCGCTTTGTTCCGTGGCCCCGTTGCAGCCCCT